CATAAGCTGCTCCAGAAGCTGCCCATCCTCCACCAGGGCATGGGTGCCTGTGGCGTACACTGTAGCACCCTCCCGCACTACCACAGGTGTGTTGGTCATGCAGCGAATCACTTTGGGGGCTGGCTGGAACGCCATCAGCTTCTTCTCCACAGAGCTGATGGTGACACCAGCTGCACAGGAGACCACGATGTGTCTGGCTTGAACGTCGGCCCCAATCTCATCCAGGATGAAGGGGATGATATGTGGCTTCACGGTCAGAAACAGGACATCACTATGCCTCACCGTCTCCTTGTTGCTGCGTGTTAGGTTCACGCCCATCTTCCTGAGCGCGGACACCGTGGGTAGGTCCATTTCCGGGGAGCTGGCTATTATCTTGTGAGCCGACAGGATGCCTGCAGCTGTGAAGCCCCGCGCCAGTGCATAGGCCAGCTGGCCGGCGCCGATGAAGCCCATGCTCATAGTCCGCAGTTCACGCCTCCTGGCAGCCGCAAGAACCCGCTCAGCGCAGGCCCGAGATACCGCTGGGGGAAGGATGGACAGTACAGGGGCCAACGGGCAGCGTTCCGAGGGCGGGCGAGCTCCCAGCGGCTTCTGGGTTGGGGCAGCGCGGGACTCCTCCTGCCGGAATCTGGCCGGCTGCAGATGGGGAAAACAAAGGCAGAGTTCTGAGTTTTGCCTTGGACCACCCGCTCTCGCTCACGGGCTACATCCTCATCCTCCTCTCCCAGGGGCGGCAGGGACCTCACCGTGGGTTGTGACAGCAGTTGACTCCGGTGCTGCAGCAGTAGCGTGAAGAGAAGGAAGAGGGGCCCCTGTATCACCATGGCCAAGAGGTTCTTGCCGACCACCTCCCAGCGCAGGGGTGACTGGAACTGCCTGTCTCCCAAGCGCTCAAAGGCATCAGCCATGGCCTGGTTCCGCACCATGTCAATGAGCCCCCGGCCCAAGCAGAAGTGGGGGAAGATAAGGAAGACCTGTTTCAAGATCCGGCTCACCTCCTGCAGCTTCTGATCAGAGAACAGTTCAAGCACAAAGGTGGCCATACTTCCATTGATGCCAATAAAGAGGTTTATGCAGGTGAGCACCACATAGGCAGTGCTGGGCACGGAGAAGAAGAAGGAGGCGGGGTACATGAGTGGTGTGATCGACCAGCCATACAGCAGTAGCAACAGCAGGAGAGCAGGCAGGTTGGCAGGGGTCACATATGCCCTCTGCTGGAAGGCCAGAAAGATGAGCACCACGATGCATGCTGGCACCAAGTAGTTACACATGTCCCAGAGAAAGTTGCCAAGCCAGTAGAGGGTGGGGGGCAGGCCCCCCATGAGCTGCAGGTGCTTGGCTCGGGTGACACGCTCCTCAATGAGGACAAGAGTGAAGCTGGCCGGGACGAAGGACATGGCAAAGACCACACAGATGGAGACAAGGACATCCACCGAGGAGGCCATCAGTGCGGCCTCAGACAGCTGCTTCTTGGTGAGGTTCAAGGGGTGGTTGAGTGTGATGATGCTGTGGGCATGGCGGGCCGGGCCTGGGGGCAGGTGGGCATGTAGGAGTGCGTTGTTTGCTCGGTTGACAAAGGCCACCATGGAGTGCCAGCCTTTGTTGTTGAACCAGATCTTGAGGCTGTCCTGAGCATCCAGGCTACGAGCCCAGGCTGTGAGGTTGTTCAGGACACGGTCGAAGGCCCCGCCAGGCAGGGGGCTCAGCAGTGCCCACAACTCCTCCACTGAGCGGCTCAACTCTTGGCCCGAGGGCAGGCCTGGGTCTCGGCCCCCCAGAGAGAAGCCTCCATACCTGACCTCATTCACCCACTTCTTAGTCTTCAGGCCCTGGCGCACCAGGCGAGGGTACGTCTTGACCAGGAAGTAAGACAGGTTCCGGCCTGTGAGGTTCTGAACCACTTCCCCAGAGCTAGTCACTGCCTGGGGCGGAGGGGACCCGCCAGCTGCAGCCGGGCAGTCGGGCAGCAGGCGCCGGGTGCCAGGCCGGCTACATTGGCAGGCTGGGGACGGAGACTCTGGGGTCCAGTTGCCGCTGGCCAAGACCTTGGCCACTTCAACAGGAACTTCCGGCACCGAGAACCTGCTGGAGCTATTCTGAGTGGAGGGCTCCTCCAGCCCTGCCTCCTCCAGCAGCGCCTCGAGCAGCCGGGCACGTCTGGGGTCCCCCGGGGCGTCCTTTTTTGTATGTTTTGTTTCTCTGGAGGCCTCTCTCCCTCGAACT